TTCATTATTATTCGTAAAAATAAAAATTAAAGAGAAAAAAAGTTTATAACAGCAAATAGTATAAAGTGTAGAAAATTTAAAGTGGAAAATGAAAAGATAAAAACATATATATATATTCTACTCTTACTTATGTATGTCATAATCCGTACGTGGTACATAAAATTCCCTAGCGTGGAAAAATTCGCAAGATCGAGAAAAATGAAAATCGAACGATAATTGAACTTACATCCGTCGATCTCTGCTTTCCTCCGGTGAGCCAATAGTACACACCGATTCCCGAACTAATCAGCATCGTCACGACGATCACCGCGTAATCAGCAGCTACCAGGCTAGCCATGTTCCACTTTTTCGCGATATCGTCTCAAGTCGAATTTGACGTGCAGACTAATTCTTGGCCGCGGCTCGATCGTCGACAGTGTGTGTATACTCGACGTGTCGTTACTGTGTCGGTCGTCTGCTTAATCATCGCTCGCTTCGGCACATTTTAACACTCGTGTTCGTATTTTACGTAATGATTCGAACGACACTCTCCCGCCATTTGTCTGCGGATCGTATCAAGATTTCTCTTCCTCCTCTTTTTTCTATTCACGCTGAATTCCGATGGACGCTGATGGATGTTATTGAAGAGCCGTTGCTAGCCTCCTTGGATTTTAATTTCGGCACACGACGTCACTCCAGTCGTAGCTTTCTTTCGTTTGTAAAATTTACGCTCGTAACGCTCGTTTGTGTGTTGACACGTTTATGTTTGACAGGCGAATTCAATTTTCTTGAAAATTGAGGTGCCCGTGAAGAAATCTTATTCTCTATTTTTTTCGTTTATTATCACACTTGGCATCAATTTCCGTCACTTGTCCTCAATTTCGCCAGACGTTGTACGGTTTTCACGTTAAAAAATATTTGCAATTTTTGTAATCTTGCAGACTTTTTGCAGAATTTTTGAATCATATAAAGTAAACGTCACTTATTTTTTCGTGTACTATGTTTTTATTTAGTCGTTAGTAGTATCTAGAACACTTAACAAACATTGTCTTTTCTATATGAACTTCAAACACTGATAAAATATATCAATAATTATATTTTAATTAATTCTTCATGATCGAGTGAAGAACACTGTATTACATATTTCTTTCGCACATGTAGATTCAGTGGTCGATTTTAGATCTCGAGACTTTTGCTGTCGCAGAGAGCACTCGTTACTCGAGTTAAATTTTATCGATGTCTAGAATTAAACTCGCTACGAGTGTGAGAGTCGCCCGGCAACTAAACTTATGGTTGCGAGAAACGATCGGAGTGTTCAGGATTAATTCGTAGATAAGAGAGATACGCGCGATAAATTGAAGAAAGATCATATCATTTTTTATCGCTGAATTTCAGTTAACAGTCCATTATATCCAGTTGAGCTCTATAATTAGCGACGTTTGTCGCGAATTGACGATTGTCCATTTTAAAAATAATATCAAATGCTATACAAGATGATTCGCGTTTTACTACAAGTCGCAAATTCCAGAGTTATTTTGCAGAGACAATGTAACGTTACAGAAATAACATTGCGACCAAGCGTGTATTTCCAAACCGAGAAGAATCTCTTTTGCTTATCTTTTGATTTCGTTAGCGACTCTAAATGTACCGACAACTATTAACTCTTTTAATTAATCCACGTTCCGAGATAATTCGCAGGAATTAATACATTTTTAAGTGCCAGTTTTCTTCCATAACTACATGATTTCTCGAATTGATCGATATCAATTGCTTTCAATTGGCAGATGTCGATCGTAGTATCTCATACAATCAAATCGCACTCACGAACTAGAATTAAAGTGACTCCAGTTTTGTCATATTACCATATTTCCAATCTGTGCTCTGCTATTATAGTTTAAACTTTTATTACTTTGTCAATCAACTTACAGGAAAATTTTTCGTTCCTGCTGAAATAAACCTGTAACTTTCTTTACTCTTTTATTTCAACATTTGAAAGAAATAAGTTTTAAAAGATAACGAGTAAATCCTGTCTGAACTTAAATTTAATTTAATATTAATAAACTCAATTTTTTTTCTTCTAATTAAGTTTGAACTTAAACTTAATTTAAAATTAATAACGATGAACTTAATAATAATAGCAAACTAAATTCAAAATTAATAATAACAGACTTAATTTAAAATTAATAATAATAAATTTAAAATTATAAAAATTCAATTTTCCTCTTCATATTTTGGTGTTTTATCGAAAAAAAAAAAAAAAAACAGGTGTTCCAAACTTTCGATCCATCCTGTCGTATTGTTATATAGAGTTTCTTTTTTTTTTCTAACGTAAAGTCACACTTGCGCACACAGCCGCTGTTACAAATAGACAGTTACGCTGCAAACTATAAAGATTACAGTTATAAAGTATACGGCAAATATTAAGTGAAAGACTATAGATATCGGATCTTGTATAGGCCCGTGACAGTGTTTACGGTACTGGCGACAAGCGTTTCCTGCGCGCTATCATAGAATGCGTTGTTTGCACGACAAGCGCTTCTTACCGAGCCACGTTTTATGCACGTTCGCGGCTATACAAACCTACGCGTCCAACGTGCGCACACGCACTTCCGCGTTCCCCCGATCCTACCTGAGAGAGCGCGGGTGTCTCTTATGATTATCGTCGAAATAAATTCCACGGTAACCTATGGGCTTTCTTCCTCCTCCTCCTCGTTTTCTTCGCGATTTCGCTTCCCTGTTCGCATTGGAATAGAACGAACGACACGCTGGAAACTGGAGAAAGAAGGGAAGGATATGTGTCGCGCGCGTTCGCAAAAGTCTGTACAAGGTGTAGAGTTTGTCCGTGATCCTATCATAGACGAACATTCTACACCTTCGATTTGATGGAAATACGTGTAAAGCAAAATTGGCTTTGGTTTTGAATTTTTCTCTTTTCTTGCATTGTATTCCACTCATCACGAAGGAACTATAGACGTTGGGACTATAGGCGTGCGTTCTAACAGCGACTTTATGGTTCTGGACATGTGGTTGTTTATATTCACACTAGAACTACCGACGAACCAAATCATAAAATTTCCATCAACAGGGACATTAATTTAAAAGAAACGAAAATTACAGGAGGATATAGAAGCTTTTATTTATGTATTTTACGAGGAATCATTCGACTGTTTACACATCAATAAAATATCCAACGAAAATTATAAAATTGGCCATTTTGTCCATTTTGATAGTTCCAGTGTTGATGTTAACAGTTAGTTTTATCATTTGATTATTTAGACTCACACTGATGCTACAACTGTGATAAATCAAATGTTAGTGAAACCTAATACGAAAATTACGTGAAATGGACATCTACGCGTCCAGAATCATAAAGTCGCTGTTAGCACGCACGCGTCTGTAGTGTTAAATGATTAAGAAACTTTTTTGTCATTTTTCAAAAGAACTATTAGGTTACTATGGTATTTATTTTCGTGATAAGTACAATACAATACAATACAAAAAAAAATTTCTTTTTGACTTGATAGATAGACATAGAATTCATCTATGATAGCCAAACAAACTTTTCTTTCCACCCTATACCTGTCGAATTGATAAATGAAGATTCACATCGAGGCGAATACGACGAACGATTTTAGACACGAGAGTTGTAAAAGCTATCGTTAGATGAATGTTCGTGCTCTGCTATCGTTGCAATATTAATTGCAATTCATTGCAAGAAATAATTTTTCCGTTCTTCCGGCAATTACGAAGCGAAATTTGATTTCACGAAGTTTGATTTCATCGGTGTGTTAATTCGAAAGACTTTCGCCCGTGGTATTTTGCATTGAACATATCGACAAAATTTGACTGTTAAATTCTCAATGAAACGTACGAGCCCATTTTTAATAATTCAACGTTTCTCGCCAATCGAGTCAGCGAGCGATCTTTTTATGTAAAAAAGCTTTCGCAAGGAAACTAGATTGCGTATATAATGAATAATACAGTAACGACGTTCAGGTCTATCTTGTACATAACTCACGCTGACGTTCTCTCGATTCAACATGTGGCGGAATTATTTAATAGTAATACAAGAAACGGTGGCTGGTTCATCGAGGTTAATTAGATTGATAATTACAGTGCAAGGACAGGAGTGATTTAAACTTGTTTCACTAAACAATTTATCTGCACATTGACGAGCCTACCTGTGGGTGCCTGTTAGTGTCAGCTTGTCATCACGAGTTGCTCGTATAACGCGTTAACGTGCGTAGAACGTACAATGCTCGACAATTATACAAAGTTCGATGGGCTATCGTTGCCTCAGCCAAGAATCACCAAGAATCAAATCAGTTTGGTCTTGTATCAAGCTATTGAACTTAACTGAATTTTTACAACACGAAGCATAATTTGAGATAAATAGTTCAACCCTTTTTAATACCGATATTATGCCCTTTTTAATAGTGATATCACGTCAGATTATTTTGCCCAACTTGTCCGAATTGTTACAATACGAAGCATGGTTTAATCC